TTTTATAAACGAAGTTTTTATTACTATCTCATTACTAAAATTCTAAAATGAAAGCAATAAGATCTTTGTGTGTGTATATATGTTGGGTGTGTTGACACATAAGTACATATGTTATGTTGTATGTTTTGTCTATATAGTACATTTTGGCATAGCTGGCCGGAAATCCCTTAGAAAGTTCTATTCGGATTGACTTAGATAAATAGTGCTCATGTAAATTACATAGTAACTCTCCCAAATCCCTTGTACTTCACATGACTTAAGTAAATCTTTAATAAATAGCTCGTTTTTAAATATTGGTAAAATAAAAATAGAAATGTTTGCAAATTGTCAGCATATATTTTTGTCTGGAGTAAATGATTGAATAGTTTTATATTTGTCTCTGCTAACCTTTTTAAAGTTGTAAAACTGTGAACCCAACTTAAAAACAGAATAATCTTTGTTCATGTAACTCTTTGATAAGTAGGACTAATTTAGTATGATTTAATAAAAACAACTGTATCTTCTGAGTTATTGGTAAAATACCCACATGTTTAACTTGAAGATTCTTACTTAAGTGAACACCTGATATTTATAGCCTGTAAAAATGATTAACAGTGAAATGATGACTAGTTAGGTCTAATATATCAGTTTTCATAAGTAATCTAAGGTTACTTGTTAAAATTAAATAAATTCAGTCAATTTAAATGGAATAAGCATTTATAATAAAATTTTCATGTTATTTGAAATCTTAAAGTTATGTTAAATTAAATGATAGACACTCATTAAATGCCTGTGTCGTTTTCAAGTAAGATTTTTAAAACTTAGGCTGAAGAGCTTTAACAGGTAAGTGTGCGTGATAACAGAAAGGTGAAATCTTGCCCTATTTCATTAGAAAAAGGATAACTTAAGATATTTTATTATTTCATAGATAAAATTGTGGAGAAGCAAACCAAAGCAGAAATATGTTTTTTCCTAATTTTTCTTCAAATTCTTTATATTACTTAATTTGAATAATTTTAGACTTGTGTGGAGGTTATTGTTGAACACCAAATGACAAAACTAGTCTTTAATATTTATCTGTAATAATACATGGTGAATAAGTGCTCAATAAAGGTGTTGAATAAATGAATAAAGTTTTTACATTTATTAGAATCCTTTGGTAGTGAATTTATAACATTTTCATTTTGAAACCTTTAAGGATAATTAAACAAACTACACTGACCAACTTTGTATCCTTGAGAGAAAAAGATATGTTAAAAAATATACATACACGGCCGGGCGCGGTGGCTCAAGCCTGTAATCCCAGCACTTTGGGAGGCCGAGAAGGGCGGATCACAAGGTCAGGAGATCGAGACCATCCTGGCTAACACGGCGAAACCCTGTCTCTACTAAAAACACAAAAAATTAGCCGGGCGAGGTGGCGGCGCCTGTGGTCCCAGCTACTCGGGAGGCTGAGGCAGGAGAATGGCGTGAACCCGGGAGGCGGAGCTTGCAGTGAGCTGAGATCCGGCCACTGCACTCCAGCCTGGGCGACAGAGCGAGACTCCGTCTCAAAAAACAAAACAAACAAACAAACAAAAAAAATATACATACACAAAAATACCCAAGTGTGTATGTATAAGTAAATGTATACATGCTTTCTTTTCTGTCTTATTTTCCCTTGAATTTAAATTTATTCTTTGTATGTATATGTAATGGAAAATAAATGTACATTTTGATTAAAGAAATACATGCTTATTATGAACTTATATGCTTCAATTTTCCATTTTTTATTGAAAAATAAAAAATTTTAAGATGTATTATGTTGTCTTTTATGTAAATTACAGAAATAATATGAATTTGCATCATTAAGAATTTGGATTGTATAATTTATGGTAGTACAGAAAGAAATCTGCAAGTCAGTATTTACCTCACTTAAATGTAAGCTCCACATTCCTCCAACATACACACATTCACATATACACAATATAATCTAAATTACAAAAAGCAAGATTTTCTATTTTGCTCAGAAGTTTTCTCAATGTCCAATACATTTTTCTGAAACACAGTGTTACATAATAATTTGAGTTAATTAAAAAATAAAACATAAGCATAGACTCTGTATATATCATCAGAAGTCCAGGATCAGATAGGGTATAAACTTTGTTTTTTTGTTGGATGGAAGTCAGTGTTCTTCACAAAGGAGATGCAGCTTAAACGATGAATTTAAAAGAAAAATTCTGAGCCAGGCACAGTGGTGTGTTCCTGTTGTCCCACCTACTCTGGAAACAGAAGTAAGAGTATCACTTGCGTCCAGGAGTCTGAGTAGTATAATTAGTATAATGTGATCACACCTGTGAATAGTCACTGCACTCAAACCTGGGCAACATAGAGAAAGAAAGAAAGAAGGAAAGAAACACAGAAAGACAGGGGAAGGAAGGAAGGAAGGAAGGAAGGAAGGAAGGAAGGAAGGAAGGAAGGAAGGAAGGAGAAAGAGAGAGAAAGAAAGAAAGAAAGAAAGAAAGAAAGAAAGAAAGAAAGAAAGAAAGAAAGAAAGAAAGAAAGAAAGAAAGAAAGAAAGAAAGAAAGAAAGGAAAAGAAAAGAAAAGAAAAGAAAAGAAAAGAAAAGAAAGACGGAAGGAAAGAGAGAGAGAAAGAAAAAGAAAGAAAGAGAAAGAGAGAGAGAGAAAGAAAGAAAGAAAGGAAGGAAGGAAGGAAGGAAGGAAGGAAGGAAGGAAGGAAGGAAGGAAGGAAGGAAGGAAGGGAGAGAAAGAAAGATTGATTCTGAGAATCCTTAATAGAAATGCTCTCTTAATTGTTCTATTTGTTTAAAAATGCTGACATCAGTAAATGGCCAAATAACAAAAGGCTGGGTTATCAAACAGTTGTGGATATAGGAGGGAGGGAAAATACTGGAAAGTCAGAAAGATAAAGATAGAAAAGTATATTTGTTCTCCCAACATTATGTCATTCTAGTTTATTGCTGTATCTTTCATGTTTGGAACTTCTAGGTTTGTTTGTGGGTTTCTATGCAGAAAAAAAAAGTTTCTGTTTACGAAAATGTTATAATTTTCTACTTATAAAAATAGCACAAAGTTCTACTAGGCAGGTCCAAAAGAGTTCGCCAATAGACACGCTTTATAGTGCTCTGCAATAGAACTTTGCAATAGAGCCTTCTGCAGTAATGGAATCATTCTTTATTATCCAATATGGTAGTCAACAACTACATGTGGCTATTGAGCCCCTGAAATGTAGCTAGTAGGACAGAGGAAATAAAATATTGATTTTATTTTAATTAAATGTAAATGTAAACTGACATACATGGCTAATGGTTACAAAATTGGAAAGAGCAGCTTTTGGTGATTAAAATGAGGCAAGTCTATTTTATTTGCATAACACAATACAATACTATTATAAGGCAGAATCTGAAACATTTCTTCCAGCCAGCAACATCAGTGGATATTTAGTCACTGGAATGAGTATAGATTTCCAAATGAATTAACAAGAAAGTGGCAATGTAGCAAATAGTTGTGATAATATAGTAAGTTGATAGTGGTGGATGGTAGATGTAATGTCTGGATGATATGAAAAAAGAGGCATTATTTTTATAATAAAATATGTCAATACATAATTATTTTTATGCAGTGTATCAAAATAATGATTCTCTCACAAATAATAAAATGTGATTTTTAAACTAAATTTTCATGCTAATTTTAATAATTTGTTTACTAAAGCTCCTTAATGATATTTGGAAAACTGACAATATCATGAGAAGTTCAACTTTATCTTTTGCTTCTACATGTAATGGTAAGACTTTGATTATTAAATGAAAACTATAATTATTTTTGTTCTTTTAGATTTCAACATTAAATTTTGGTTGCACTACTATGATTTTGATGACAATATCAAAAGTCTAAACACACCTCCTAGTTTAAAAGACCTACAAGAAATATTATGTAAAAACTGTATTCCTAATGTTTTAAATGCGAAATATGTTTTTCTATTTTAGTCTGGGTAAGTAGCATTAGATTAAGAACATTGTTTTTTTTTTTTATAGATGCATAAGTCTCTTTTTTTCCATTCTTAAAATGATTTCTGGTACAGACTTTGGTGCAATACCGTATAATTGTACTATCACATCTCCTTTACATTTCATACCCATCATATAAAGTAGTTATATAAAATATCCAGATCATATGCTAAAATATTCCATGCTCATAAACGCAAGACTGTGAAATGGACACAAAAGGTTAATCCAAATTGATGCTGCCTCCTGTTTACCTGCAAATTCTTTCTTATGAATAAACCAACAGACTAAAATCTTTGATCTCAATGAAGATAAAGCCATCTTCATTGTTACTAATAAATACTTTTTAATATTCAACGGTTGCTGCCAACCTTCATCAATTTGATTGTAATTTGTGCATACTTTTAAAGCATGCTTTTTTTTTTTTGCTATAAACAGCCAGAAATTAATACTAATGAAACTTAAAGACTCATATTGCAAACTCTCCCTCCCACCAAAAAAAAGAGTTTATCTCCCTATAAAATTCAACGTAGTATTGGGAGAAGAATTCACCGGAGGAAGGAATATGTGCACATTTCCTAAAGGCATAATAAAATAAAAGCATAATATGTAGGATGTTTGCTGTTTTTATATATTTCACTTACTACTTCAATCAACTTCAATCACTGGGTTAGTTTTAAGATAGGCAGACCCAGGAAGGAATAATTCTATCCTGCCTCAGTATGACCTATTAGTTATGATAAGAACTGCTCTTTAGCATTGATATATTCCAGTGCTCTCATTCCTCAAACCAGAATAATATATCTAAGAAAGATATGAAAAGGAGAGCTCAGTGAACCACATTTTGAAACTAGTTTTAGATTACTACCTTTGGTATTTCTAAAAAGAAAATCACGTTGCTGTGGTTTTAAACCCTTTGAAATAAATGTATTTTAAAAGTCACCAGGGAAAACCATTGTTACACAACCATGTTTCTTATTGTTGTTGCTTTTTGTGTTTTGTTTTCTTTCCCTAGCTAAGTTTTACTTTCTTCCCTGAGAGAAAGAATATGGAACAGCTGTATGATCTACGCAATAGTTGATGCAAAACTACATCGAATCTCCATGCTATTTGCCATATCTTTGTCAACTGATATCAGTAAAAGCGCCATGACTCGGTTTCTCAAACATACAAGTGAGATCACTCTCCTCATGGGCAACCTTCAACATGCTGGAAGACCAAGTAAGACTGCAGATAAATGCTTGATGATTTGAAACAAACAAAACATATTCTAAGTATTGGTGTGTTCCCTTCAGTTTATTGCAGAGACCTCAGTGCCGCCTGTATTTTTTTCTAGATGGAGAATGTGTAAAAAGCTTCAAAGTACAAAGTTTTACAGTGATCTCCCCATTATTAAACAAGATCTTACTCTTCTTTCAAAAGCAGTATATAGAAGTCATAAGCGTCTCTATCTCTAAAATTAAAGTAAACCCCTTGGAGAGGTTTAGCATGAATAAATGGGAGGAGAAAGAAAACAGATGTTTCTTTCTTTTTTTTTTCCAAGAGGGTGGATTGCAGGTGGCATTAACATGCCTCTCCCACTTAGAAAGACAAACAGTGTGTAGAGATTCACACTGTGAACTTCTTTCCAAAAATCCATGCAAAAACTTACCTGGAAAACTGAAATAATCCACAGATTCTTAAAAAACAAAACAAACAAAAAACAAAACAAAAAGAGCAGGCTGCAGTCTACACCATGAGCCTGGCAAAAAAAAAAAAAAAGGCTGTAAGTCCCCAGAGTGTGAGAGAGGGAGAGACTACCTCCAGGACATGTTCCCACTGAAGAACCTGGCAGTTTAGGCCACAGGGGAAGGCCTTACCCCTACTCAACACTGGAACTGATTTAGGGAGTGGCAGGGAGTGGTGGGGAATATAAAAGTAGGAGCAGCAGCACGAAGGTCCTTGTGCTCATTTCCAGTCTCCAGCAGATTGAGGGAAACCATACCACAGGCGAACTCATGGAAATCTACCAACTAACTCAGGCAGTGGTCACATGTTGAAAGTAGCTCCCAATTGAAATGTGCAATGTAATCTTCAGTGGAGACAAACTCCCTTGGCCGAAACCAGGGGCTGTACAGACGTGTGTTCCGGCCACTGCTGTCCCTGCTGGGAAGACTTACGGCCTGGGGCAGTTTTGGGTTCTGACCACGGTCTGCCTGGAAATCAGCTGCTGCTAGCGAACAGCACAGATGAGAGGTCTGCCTTGCCAAATGCATGGGGGCTGAGTGGGTCTAACTGCCACCTGCTAATCCCTACTCCCTGTGTGAACCCTTCTGTGCCGCAGAGGCACTACGTTCATCCCTGGAACATTATCCAGTGGCCAGAGAACTGTCCCCCAACCCCCACAGGGGCCACTGCTTGCCCCACACATGGAGAGCCAGAGCACAGACTTACTGACCTAGCCCCCAACTGGCTTTACCCTATCCCCTCCTCCAGTAGCTTCACACAAAGGACAGAAACTTTTAGGAGCTCTGTGGCCCCACCTATCACCTATCACCTGAGAAACCAGAGTAGCTCCCCATGGTAACATAAGCCCTGGGCACAACGTGACTCACTTACTCTGCATTCTATTGGCCAAAGAAAGACACATGGCCAGACCAGATTTAGGAAATGGGGAACCACAGACTGTGAAACTGCATCGCCAAGGCCATGAACACAGGAACTGGTAAAGAATTGTGGCAACTGCAAGCTACCATGACAGGGGATTAAAGAAATTTTTAAAATAGCCCTGTAGATTTCCATTTTTTTCATTATATGTGCTTTTATGGTGCTATGTGGTTTATATAACGAAACCTGAACTGGGTGGGGCATAGTGACTCATGCCTATAATCCCAGCACTTTGGGAAGCTGAAGCAGGTGGAATGCTTTAGCCCAGGAGGTTTTGGTTGCAGTAAGTCATGATGGCGCTACTGCACTCCAGCCTGGTGACAGAGAAAGAGCCTGCATCAAAACAAAATTAAAAAAAAAAAAAAAAAAGAAAGGCAAACAAACAAAAAACCCTGAAATGACCTGTAGTGTGAGATATAGGAGCACTGGCTTCCTGAGGTTAGATTAGCTAAGAGGATACCTGAAATATGTTACAGGAGAACTAATCAAGGACAGAAAGCAAACATTACTTCCACAAGCAATCCATATGATTGTAGAGTTTCTACTAAAGTCTAAAAATACCAATTTAAAAACCTATTTTTTAGGTCCCCTTTGTTTTTGAGACTGAAGATCTTGTGCTATAACATCAAGCATCTGGTGCTTGATCTTTACACATATAAAGAAGTTTCCCTTTCTAATGTCCTGAGTGCAATTTCAACAATATGTTCAGTTGCCCTCTTGATAATTCTTTGTCCTATCTTTTCTGCTTGCTTTTGCCCAGTTTTACCTTTGAGAGACCATGATATAGCTCTGGGGATGTGGCATTAGTGTTGCCTGTTGCCAGGACATTGATATTAACCTAAGAATAAAAGCCTGCATCCATAACAAGGTTCTTCCTCCTGTGTGTGAGACAGAGCTGTCTGGAATCCCTTGGACCCTTGCTAAAAGTCACACATTTTAAAACTCTATGCCTTCAGATTCACGGAAGTGCTGTAATTGTACACCAACTCTGGTAGGAGCCCCACTGGTGGCTGCAGTCCAGTTATGGGGATACAAGGCAAGGATGATGATTCTGAGCATATGTTACAGCTAGCTGTGGGAAAAAGGCAGGGCTCCTGCTTCCCCTCTTGATCCTTCTGAGATGTAAATAACAAGATTAATTGCAAGTTTCATGGCCTTAAAAATAGGCCAGCAACCTCCATGTTTTCTTTTCCCAATAGAAAGTGTGAGCACACATTGTGTATATAGCTTGACCTAAGTAAAATAACTCAACCAACCCATGTTTACATTTCACTCCTGGTGTTCTAAACAATCAGGATGAGCCTAGTGGCCAGTCCTGGCAGACAGCATGGTGTTTGTCTTTCTTCCATTGGTGCCCTAGTTGTTAGCTTTCTTTCTGATTGGCATTAGTGTCTGCAGCTGTTCCTGCTGTCTGAAGCTAGTGATTCCCTATCATGTGCCTCCCAGCAATGGTAGTGTTTTATTTCATCCATTCACTCGTTCAACAAACATTAGATGAAACCTACTATGCAATAAGATTTTTGTAAAAGCCCTCCAAGATGACAGGAATATTTTATTTTTGTGGCTAACAGCAAATAGATGAAACCCAAATACAATGGTTCTTCTTTCAATTCTCACATGTTTTATTTTGAGACAGCAGAGTGCAGTGGAGGAAGTCCTAGAAGAAACTCTATGAAGAATTCCTGTGACAAGTATGCTGAAGATTTTGACCCATGGACTGAGAACAAAATGCAACTTCAGTTTTGTCTCTCTCTGGTTGTAACTGTCTTGACCTGTAATGATTAAATGTTTTTTACTTTGACTGGTGCCATCCCAAATGGACTGTCCTTGCTGGCCTTGAGGGATGGTAAAATTCAACTGGTTTTTTTCGTCCCCACTTTTGACCTCTGCAGAGGTTCTCTGATAATCCCACAACTTAAGAAAAAAAAAGGAGAATGAACCTCTATTCTAAGTAATGACTGAGTGTTGTATCTTTAGCTGTTGGCATTCCACATTGCAACTTCTTCCTTCTGCTGATGCCTCTTGAGGTAGCCCTGTGACACAGGATCCAAAGTCCTGTGTTGACTCTGTGACTTTACATGGCCCACATCTGACCCACAGCAAATAATGACAGTTTCTGTGCCAACTGTGGATGTTTATGCAATCTCAATGCAGCACTTTTTTGATACTATCATCAAGGTATGGGTGTGGCCTATCAAGTGGTTCTCTTGAAGTCCTCTTCATTAAGCTTATGTTTAGAAGTTAGCATGCCCCAAACTTTCCCCTAAAGTTTGGAGGCACAAATCAAATCAAGAGCTTTCTCCAAAGAAATTTCCTTACCAATCTCTTTTCCTCTCCACTGTCTCTGATATGTTTTTATGCACTTACTCTGGCAGAGGTGCAAGAGCCATGTTTCTGTGTCATTTGCTTTGAATGTCAGCACATGGGGATGGAGTTATCTGGCACATCCTCTGCTATCTGATACTTTTTTATGGTGCCTCAGTTGAAACTTGAGGCAGGTACAGTCCCATGCTAACTTCCTATTAACGCTCACTGTATAACTTCGCAGAAACAATTTAATTTTCTGGGTCTGTATTTCCTCCTTCATAAAACAAGAGGGTTAAAGCTCAATCTCTAGGGTCCTTTGCAGCTCTCAAATTTGGTGGTTTTTGCAGTTCCATTTCTATAGACAGTGTAACAAAATAGAAAAGACATTGAGATAGTTGTCATGAGAGTTAATCCCAGCTATAATCCCATTGACAAATTGAATGACCTTAAGCAAACAAGTCTCAATTTTTCTAGAACTCAGTTTTCTCATATGTAAAGGGATGAGGAGTCACCAGATGACTTGTAAGGGTCTCTTCCAGAGCTAAACTCTATTTCTTTATCATTTATTATTTCTGGATATGTCCTAAGTTACAAATATTTATTTTATCACACACAAAACAAGATTTGAAGTAGGAAAAATATTGCAATTAAGCACAAAATGTAGCTGAGAAACCTCGGATCCAGCAAAAGCATAATATAAAATGCAAGATTTAATACACTTCAATATTTTGAAAGGCTTCATGCTATGAAAACCAGTGGGCAGTTTTAGTATCTGAAAACTTGGTTGCTGATTCAGTTTTAGCCTCTTCCTCAGCTGTATGAGCACCAATAAATCACAAAATCTTTTGAACCTTATTGAAATAATAACATGTATTTAATGGAGTTGATTTAAGGACCATATGACATAAATTTGAAAGTAATTTTTAAATGGAAAGAATAAAACAAATATTGGTTATTATACTTAAATACATTAAATGCTGTAGAAAGAAAACAATTATTTTTTCTACTTATACAGAATGATAATGAGAGAGTAATGCATTGATTATCACCAGTATCTGCAAGGTGATTGCAGAATATCTTGCAATATAACCGGAAGCAAGAAGGGCATGAAAACTATGGGCTGGAGGGTGAAGTCGACTCTGGTTGCTAGTGAGGGATACATTCCAAGACCTTTGTGATTCTGCTAACTAGAAATATTTATCCAGGCTCTTGGTTTTCTCTCAAATCACATTTCAGTCAAGCCACATGTTTCCTGTGAATATCCTCATGTGAGTAATTGCAGCATGGAATAGGACATTCCAGTCATACTTTATCTCGTTTCCACAGAGAGTGGAGTATGCTTGTTCATATCACTGTTCCAAGTCTTTGCAAAAATATACATTTTGTTTTTTAATGTACCTAAAACTTCTGCTATCTGATAAGAACTATCAATCATTTAGACTACTGGATATTTGCTTGATTTTCAACCTCAACACTAGGCTTTCTTTGTAGCGGTAATTTAAGAGAAGAACAGGTTTTTTTAATCATTAGTTTTAAAAAATATATCTTTAGGCTCAAATTCATAGTTTTTCCAAATGAACTAATATATCCTAAAATCCTTGAAACCCTGACCATTACATCCAGGATGCCAAGGTTCTATGAGCATACCTAGCATCCCTACCACTAATACATTCATCTATTAATTTAATTTTCCTTTTTCCTATTCAGACGACTTCACATCTCTCTCCTCAAAACCCCAACACCCCTGCTTTCTCTCATTAGCGGATAATCTCACCTTTTAATTAATTGAGAAAATGAAAATCATAAAACAAGAATTCATGTTCCCAACACCAATTACTCATCTAATGACTTTCATGCAGTCACTGGCTCCTGCCTGCATCATGATTTTCTTTCTGCAGAATCACTCTCATCAAGAAGCAAGCAGGCTGCATTATTTCCCACGTTAGAAATCCTTCTTTGGACCACATATTTCTCTTCCTTTGCTGGCGCGTTTGTCTGTTAAGTTTCTAAACTAGTTGCAAGTACTTAGTGTACTTCCTCCCCTCCCACACTCTCCTAAACCCCAACATTCTTATCCTGGTTAACAATGACCTCCATCTTGCAAAATCAGTTAAATGTGTTTATGTCCAAATATTTCTCAAACGATTCACTCTTAGATTTTCATAGTTGATTGTTACTTCTTCAAAACTTCTCTCTAGGCTTCTGGGAAATCATACTTTCCTGGTTTGTTTTCTGACATATTAAGTGATCCTTCTCGGTCTTGTGTGTTAACTCTTTTTTCCCCACCTAAATGTTAGAATGGCCAAGAGCTTGGTCTAATAGTTTTCTTCTCTACTTACACATACTCCCTAGGTTGTGTCTTACACTTTTTCTCTTCTTTATACATATCTCATCCACTACTGTAGTTTTAAATATAAGGTAAATATAGATGACTGGTAAAATCATATCTCAGGTCCCTATCTCTATACCAAGGTCTACACTTATATATATAGCTATTACTTAATGATTGTAATTAAAACTGTAAAATAGACACCTCAAATTGAACAGCAAAAAAGAAGGTTCTTTTTTTCCCCCGTCTTAAGCCATTTCTTCCCTGCTTTTCCCATCTCAGTAAATGGCCCTAAGACAGTATAAGAAACTTAGTGTTCCTTGCAGACAAGAGACATGGTAACCAAAATCCCAATGGGCTTAACATGTCTGGACATATTCCCTCCCTTTCCTTCCTGTCTCCCTGAAGAAAGTGACCCACTTCACATAACGGAGGGTGGGGCCCTTCCTAATTTAGCAGACCAGACCAAATTCCTAACCATAAAACGAAGAACTTAGCCATTTATCTCCTTGAGTTATGTCTTCCAAGGTTGCTGAACCAGGGTTCTAACATTCCTGATAAGAATCTGACCAGATACAGCTGGCTGGTGACAAGATGGACTCTGCAGTTTTCAAAGACTTTTTCCTCATTATAATCTCGATATAATACTAAAATCTCTTCCCAGAGTAGGGCTCACCTGCCATTTTGTGTATATGGGATGACTGTTAGGACGTGAGGCCTCACTGCGCAGGTGCATTGAAAAGCCCCACCCAGTCGTACCTGCGTGCTACGTTTTTCCATCTCAGTTTCCTCGAAGGGGCAGGAGCCAAGAGCTAAGCTGCTCAGGGAGATAGCATCAGGATCCCTTTCCTATATGCTGTCCCTTCGTGCTGTCTGAGACACAAGCATATTAAAACCTCAACGGAGAAAAACTTCTATTTGGCCTGGTGTTAATTTCTAGTTATCTAAGAGCCAAAGAAAGACCTTGAGCTGCAGGATATGATAACAGCACCCCAACCTATGCAGCTGCTCACACCAAAATCCAAGGAGTCATCTGTGATTCCTTTCTTTCCCTAAATCCCACATCCATCTCATCAACAAATCAAACTGGCTTCGTATTGAGAGTATACCTTGCTCATTTCTCTCTGTCTGAACTCTATACCATCTTAGTCCAGTTTACTCCTTCTCTTACTTGAACTTTGGCAATTGCCTCCTAGCTGGTATCCCTGTTTCTCCCCTTATCTGTGTTCAACTCATTTTCCATTTAGCATATCTGATGGCGTAACTCTTCTTAAGACCTGCTAATACCTTATCATTGCTTTTAAAATAAAATCTATCTAAAACAAACACAATTCTTTCTTACATGAAACAAATGTGTATTTTTTGTGAAAGAGTAGTGATTAAACATAAAAATATGTATCTCACGCTATGTGTATGTATATGTATGTGTACGCATGTGTACACAGCACATGCATGTACAACACATCCATACACGTACATATCCATAGCAGGTGATTGGGTAATTGAAAAAAATCAATGATCAAGTAAGAAAATTTAGTTGACCTTCTGGTAATAAGTAATCATTTTTAATCAAAAACCAACTGAGACATATAACACGAAAGAATGCAAAATTGTAAAATTTTAAGATAATCTGAGACTTCTAAGAAATTATGTGACTGGAACTAATTGTTTCAGGTTAAGTGCCCAGATTCTAGGAAAGGAACATTTCCTTACCTCCCCCATTAAAGGGAATTGGATGGGAAATACACACAAACACACACACACACACACACACACACACACACACATACACACTGAACCCCTGGGCTCGGGCAGTTCTCCTGCCGCAGCCTCCAGAGTAGGTGGGGCTACACGCGTGCACCACCACCTCCAGATCTTAATGGTTTTATTTTGAGTTAACAATCAGCCCAAGATCAAGACTCTTCATGTCATACAGCAGGGGAGTGGAAAAGACACTTAAATTATATTACAAAGCTTTTAAAAGACAATAAAACTCTTTAATTACTTAGTTATTATGTGTGTGACACTTATAAGCTATTGTCAAATTTATCAAAACCATCACAACTTTCAGAAATTATAAGCTGTGAGAACCATTACTCTCAAACAATCTGTGCTTTTTCTTCATGGATATTCCTAGCTGCTGGTGAGCCTAATTCCTCTGTAAT